CGCCCGTTGATTCGTACTAGGAGTGATTGGAAATCAAATACTTATACAGCGTATCATTTTCATAACTGCAGGTCCGTTGGTCCATACGGTCGAAATGAGGGTATGAAGTATGAACCGGACAACAACTGTGTACTTTTCATCAGTATATAAAATGGCCATGACTTGATCCTTCCGCATACAGGTAAACCCAAAAAGTCTCTTATATACATATATGATGAACGGAGTATCCTTCAAACTGAGTCCTAACTCCTGATAGCTGTTGGCCTCTTTGATCGTGAAAAGGATTCGCAGCTGATTTTCATGACAGGCTCTAGCTGGTGAAGTTTACTAGATATATAATTATGTAATTAACCCTTGTCAGTAATTCCGTGAACCATGCAAGTTCAACTATTTCTGAAAATTTGGCAACAAATTCTGAGACCTAATTCAATAACTTTTTTTTATTCAAAATCAGTCAAGAGATCCTGAACACCTATAAAAAACTTTAGAAACAATTTTTAACTAAATCCTCATTAGATAAGAGATTGAGTGTTTATTGCTCCTCTGATTAAGAATATAATTCTTTGTAGCATTCCTCAACCTTACACGAAAATTATAAGTCTATGAACACATGTGATTACGAGGCACATCTTTACCTATTCTTTTTTGTTTCCCTTATTTTAATTGAATTGTTCAGAGGAAGAAGGCCAGTTGCGTTAATTATATTTCTAGCACAGAGATTAGTTCCAGTGCTCCTCCCCTTTTTTTCTTCCATTTTTGGTTCTACTGGTTGATTAATTCACTTGTTTGGTACGTCTCCTGCTACAGTTCTACTTACTCATGGGAGCTGGTGAAGTTTTTAAAAAATGTTTTACAAGTTTCTACTCGCTCTATTCCAAATTATAATATGTTTTAGGCTTTTTTACATACATTGTTTTGCCAGACATAATGCACATCTAAGTGCATAGTAAAAGGTAGGTATCTAGAAAGTTTAAAACGTCTTCTAATTTGGAATGGAGCTAGGGAGCAGTTTTTTTGCAAGGTACTACAAGTTTCCAGTTTATTTTAGCAAAAAAGAGAAAACTGATTGCTAAAAAAGAGCCAGAGCCTACGAGAGCTATGCCAAACGGTACCTTTAATTTGTTCATGGTTTCAATGGTTTCGTGTAGCTCAAAATCAAGGCTGGAAATGTCATATCATCAGCAGCAATGCTTAGTTTCATATTTTTTCTGCAATGTGTAGGCATCAGATAGAGAAAGCGGACCTTCTAGCAAATAAAGAAATGAAAAAAAACTATTCCTCCTATGCAGCAACTTTGCATTCGGAGAACAGAGCAGTGTGAGACAGCGAAATGCATGATCGATTTTTCTGTTGATCGGACGTAGATATCTAAGAGTCATCGATGCAGATTTTTTTGGATCAAGCTCGTTCTAACAATCAAACCGATGCTCGGTGAGAACAGAGAAACTTCAAGCATCATTTCTAGGACACACGGCGGGTGTTCTTAGAAGATAACGACAAGGAGTCGCGTTCTCGTGAATCATGATAGTGAAGGCTACTATATATTACTTTCTTGGAAGGACATAATTCATTCATTTTGACGATATCGACTGGCGATTTCGTCGTTGCCATTTCCTTGTCATTGGGCAAGCTGATTTCAATCAAAAAGAAAAACAGGCTGGCTGCCGAACGCTCGAACCAATGTTCGATTCGTCAAAATCATGCGCTCAATGAGTTGGAAACTGAGGCAAAGATGATGGAAGTTGTTGAGTGCGATGCATATCGTATATATAACAAAGTAGGAGTTGCCGATGTTGATTGAATAGAGGTAGCCGGCGGTGGACTCAGCGAGGTCGTAAATGTTCGTTTGCCGGATTTTCTATTCTCGTGTTTCTTTCTTTCCTCGCGGTATCGCATCGTCCAAACCTTTTGCTGGCAGGATGTGCGTGCTTCCTCATCGTGCGTTCCATCCACACTTGCACATAGAAAAGAGGAGGGAAATTTTTTCTGGACGGAATTCGCGGCAGATCACTCATCTCAGAATGTGAATATATGGCAGTAGCTTTTCAAAAAGAACGTGAATATGGGGCCGCATATGGCAGCATCTGCTTTGATGAGCCCGCGGCGCCGGCGCGCATACGCGTCTCCCACTGCTCGACGTTTTCCCGTGGTCTCGCGGAGTGGGCACGGACGCGGATACACACTTGTGGCAAGATAACGCGGCAATGGCCAGTGGAAAAGAAAGAAAAAAAAGGAGCTGCTTTGGCGCGAATTTAGAGTCTGGACCAATTCTGAGAGCAAATATTATAAACGGCGAAGAGCCGGCGAAATCCGACGTGAGAGAGAGAAAGTAGGAGAGAGAAGAAAACGGGCGACTCGCGAGACGCCGACAAAAAGCAGGTGAAATACATTGTGGCTGCCGCCGCTCCTCCACTCCAGTTCTTCCACGTCACAGCGAAGCATTAAAGATTGGTGGGATCCACCACCACTGCTCGGCAGCTCAGATGACCTGGAGCTTCTTACAGCCGGCGAGCGGACGTATCCATTAGCCTTGCTCTGAGGGCCGAGGCAATGAAAAAAGAGTGATGGGCCGATGTGACGGGAGTGGACAGACAAGACGACTCTCAATACGATCTCAATACAACGTACGTAGAACGTCATGTTACAGTGCGCAAAAGGGTCAACCCGAAACCCCTATTCGGATTCGGGGTCTCTCTATGCAAGTCGTCGGACGCCAAGCAGCCGGATCGCTGGGCTGGGGCTGACTGACCAGTCCCTCACATGGCTACAGTCAATAGTATTTCTCTCTCACATAAACAAACCAGCAATGTTACGTACCGACCAATCAAACAGGCTGATGGTTTGCTGAAGGCCCCGTTTAAATGCGAAATTTTTATCTTTTGACTACTGTAGCATTTTCGTTTGTATTTGGTAAAAATTGTTCAATTATGGACTATTTAGGCTTAAAAGATTCGTCTCGTCAATTACGGATAAGATGTGCAATTAGTTATTTTTTTTACCTATATTTAATGTTTCATACATGTGCCGTAAGATTTGATATGACGAGGAATCTTGAAATTTTTTGGATTTTAGGTGGGATAGCCAGAAACCGGGTGAGTCCCCGTCAACGTCAACTCCTCCAGTACTCCTTGCATGTGACGACTGACGACTGACGCGTGACAAAGGACCACACCAATGAATGCCAGACGCGGTGGACACGGTCCTTGTGATGTGCGCTGTCTCCTACCACTACTTGACAAATCACCAATCACGCGTCGCTGTCACATGGTGGTACCGTATTCTGGACGCAAGTGGACGCCGTCGGCACGCACGTCTATGAATTCATTAATTAGTCGCTCGTACAGACCTACCTATAAGCTATTTGGCCCGCTGACGTGGATAGGAAAAAATACGAGAGAGTAGTTATCCGTGATGAACAAATAACCAATCTATCTAAGAATATAAGAGAGGAATATATGGGTCAAATAGTATGTAGTCTAAGAATATAAGAGAGAAATATATGGGTCCAATAGTATATAGAAAATAAGAATATACTCAAGATAAAATAGTCTTTGCTTTTGTCTCTTATCTCCACGTAAGTTTGGCTACATGCTAGCTAGCACCATCATGGACGCCTCTAAATGTCGTGGTGTAATTCAGACCGGTTAAACCTGAAAAAATTTGATTAAGTTTGTAGAAAATATTAGAAACATTTGTATCTATAAGTAAATTTGGTATAAAAATAGATTCGTCGACCTATCGTGTTCCTCGTGCCCTGCTGGCCCACCCCCACCTTCCTCGCTCACGCCCCCAGCCAGCAGCTCCCTCAACGCCGACCGCGCCGCCCACTGCCTGCCCTCGCCGCTCGAGCCCGCCCCACTAAACACAGGGTAGTGCACCAACGACGCCCTCCTCGTCCTCGCCTCCACTCCCACTTTCTCGACCCCGCCCATCCCCTAATCCTAGGGGCAGGACACCGATAAGGATGGCAGCGGATCGGGTTCGGGGCGGATAACCGAGGGTTTCGGGTTCACAGATTTCGATTTCGGTGCTTGGTTTTCGCTCACGGATTTTCAGGTTCAGATACCAAATCCAAATGGGTTTGGGGTGGATTTTCAATTTCACCCATGGATCTCCGCTTGAGCCTCAAGGATTCAGCCCTGCTTAGTTTCAAAATTTTCACCCAAAATGTCACATCGAATTTTATAAGCACATGCATGCAAAGATTAAATGTAGACGAAAAAAACTAATTGCACAGCTTGGTTGAAAATCACGGTATCTTAATCTTTTAAGCCTAATTCGCCCATGAAAAGCCTTAAGTGCTACAAAGAATTCTCAAGATATGCTAATGACTGATTAATTAGTATCATTAGATTCGTCTCGCAATTTTCTAATGGGTTCTGTAATTTATTTTTTTATTAGTATCCAAAAATCACTCCCAACATCTTTACGACACATCCGATGTGACATAAACAAATTTTCATATCACCGACTAAACACCCCCTCAGCCCTCTAGCAGGCCAGTAGCAACCCTAAGTATATAAGTATCACCCTCCCCCTCCGCCTCACCCTCACCCTTCACACACAGCAAAAGCATCCTCTCTAGATCCGTGATTGACTTGTCTTCGACCTCCTCATCCATCCAGGTACGGGGTGAGATTGAATTAGTCAGACCTGCTTTTCTTTTCATTTTACTGTACTTTTCTTTTTGTTACCGATTTCTAATGCGCACAAGGGGATTCCTTGGATGGATCTATGGGTAATAAGGGTAACATACGTGTGTGAATTGTGATAGCGCCCTCTTTATATGAATATATGAACGCTAAAGCACACCCGGCCACTGTGGGGGCAGAATGAATCGATCCAAATCGTCCCTATATGAGGGGGGCTGGGATGACATTGGGGGCACCCACGGAACAATCCCCAAAGATATGGACTCAAATCTAGAGTCAGGGACCAAATGTTGTTTGATCTTGTACGCACCACGCGATTCAACCATGTTTTTGCATTTGCTGGCAAGCATGGCGCAACTATCAATCGTCTCTGGTATTGCCAATGCCGTCTTAGCTGCTCACACAGATGCTCTTGCGCATTGGTCGACGCTTCATTCCTGCTTTTAGCAGCACAGCGCAACTATCAATTTTACATTGCTGATGCTACTGCCAGATGTTCTTCCATTTCACACAGATGTTTTAATCATTTCTGCCCTTAAATAGTTTTGGTCTGAATCCTCACTTGTGGGGATGAAGCCAGATGTTCTTGCGTTATCTAAAAAAAAAAGATGTTCTGTATACTGCATACTTAGCAGTGTTCAGCAGACCTCGACAAGAGCAATTGGTGCAGAGGAACTCTTCACTGATTGCTGACGCTTCATTCTCTCTTTTTTTTAACCAGCACAGCAAGATTATCAATTTTACCTGGCTTAGTGCAAATTAGAGGGACCAAAGTAGGAGGTAAGAGGAGCAAATGAATCTGAGACTTGCTAGATTGTTAAATTAGAATGGATAATAAATTAAGAAAATGGTTAATATATTAACCAGCCAACTACTGATGCCTGTTATTTCCTCGCTCAACTGGTTTTCTGACGGTTTTCTTCCTTTCACACTTGTGAGCAAATCAAAAGGCTTAGAGCGATCGGTATATACTTCCCTTCCTTCCATTGCTTACTTGCCCGAGCTGGAAAGCGAAAGATGCAAATCCAAATCATATATACTATATTATGATATTTCATAGTTGATCGTGTTAAAAAAAATTCATATTGAGGGAAATATGAATATCATTTTATCTTTATTTCCATATTTATTTGGTTTATTCCATACTAATTTTACCATAGCTATAGGTATCTATATATCTTGTCACATTCCTGGTCCAGGGAGTAAGTTTTACACATCGTTCATGATCCGTTATACCAAAAACAAATAATTTTGCACATACTGAACTAGCTAGAAAAGACAACATAAGCTGACCTCAAACAAATACTAAAACTTAACGCCAGTGCCAGATGCTCTGCATAATGCATACATAAGCAGTGTTCAGCAGTTCTCCTTAACGAGAGAATTGGTGCAGAGCCTGCTCAAGATTATTGTACTACTCTTCACTGCTGAATATTGCCAACTGAATATTAACTTGAGTTCCTAGCTGTAGCATTTGTGATTCTATCCAGTATCTACTGTTGTGAGTTGTGATCAAGCTGAATAATAATCCTCAAACAGATTAATTTACATTCTAGACCACCGCATCATAGTCACTCAGACCAATTTGTGTGTTTCAGATTTTTGCTCGAACCTCCTGTCATCCTTTCACCAAGGATCTATCTAGCTATCACTAAATCCCCTTTGGCGATCAGCTGGTATGAGTTCAGAAAGGCCTGTGGACAACGAAGCCCTGCTCGGACAACATCATGAGAACTTGCCAGTGCCGAACAAAAGCAAAGACCATGGTATCTCATTGCTTACTGGGACCGGCTTCCTGTTCCTGACTTTCAACTCGGGCATGGCGGTTTACCGCTCAAATAGAGACTTTGGAGCCATCGCCTTCCGTGGCTTTCTCCTACCTGGACCTTGTCTTGCTTTTCTACTGCCTCATGTGGTACGAGAGAGACAACCCCAGAGTCGCCTCGCCCGTGAACACCTCAAGATGGCGGTGTGGCTGCTCACCACAATGCTTACCGCTGCCTTCTCATACAAGGTGGCGGCAATCATGCCGCTCCCGGTGCAGGTGCTTGTATGGGCCATGGCCGGGCGCGACAGTGCTGGGTGGCTTCTACGCTTCTTCCTGCACCGGGAGGAAACTAAGGCATAACAAGGTATAAGCTCCATTGATCCTTTGCTTCAATTCTCCCGTGCAGAAGAATAATTATCCATGCACCTTGTTTCAAATTAAAGTTTTTGATTTCTTTCTGTTTCCCTGATGGAATTGGCTCCAAGGTTTAATACTGAAACTGAGGTTTGAGCCTGACTGTGCAATGCATGTCTCTGTCTGCATGGACAGGATAGGTCAGTTGAATCCGTTCAAAGATTAGGTGGTAGTGACAACATTATATTCAAAGGCACATTCTATGGTTCAGAAAAAATGAAGCATCAGGATTCATGACTATTGCAATCAATGAACTGGTTTTATGTTCTTTTCATCCTAATGTGGTTCTGCCAGTCTCAGAGGAATGTATACTCTTGCTCAAAAGAGGAATGTATACTCTTGCTCAAAAGAGAGAATGTATACTTCCATGATCACACAAGCTTTGGAACAGGATCTGATGAAGCAGAATGGGAGGGATGCATGCTTTATTACTGTGCTGCCTGGCATAATGAATCATTGCGCTCGAATTGATGGGTATCACAGCCTTGATAAGTGATCAGTCTTGAACAGAGCCTGATCAATGGCTTATGGCAGCCTTGAACTAGAATTGTTGTCAATTTCTGGTTTGCCATACAAGTGTGCCACCCCTTGGCAAAGGAGGGGAAGAAGAGGCAGGAGGACTGCAGCCATCTTTTAGAAAAAAAGAGAGACAGTAAATCTGACAACAAGTCAACAGGCAATTCAAGAAATTCCAATTTCTAGAAAGAGGAGAGACAGCAAAGCAGGCAACAAGTCACTAGGCATTTCAAGAACGAAGGCTCACAGTTGTTGCAAAAAGGGGGGAAAATGAAAAATGAAAAATGAAAAATGAAAAACGAAAAACGAAAAAAGGAGGCAAGGGCTAATCTCCTTGGCCATTTTTGGAAGTTCTATGCCAAACTGGTTCCTCAAAGATGTGGCTTCTCTTCATCATCTATAGAACTGATGTTGGAGGCTTTGAGCCAGGAGTTGTAATGATGCTGGAAGCAACTACTGGTTTCCAGGTTATTCAGGAGTTGCCTGTTTGCAAACATCCTGGCACAGTCTTGCCACAGGACACAATAGACGAGACATGCAACGCAGAGATATTACATGAACAGCCTTGACTGAAAAAAAAAACCTATTGAAATTCACCATATGCATCATGCATTTGTTCCCATGGTCAGGCTCGGAAATAGCCAGCATTCAACTAATTATAATCCTACTAGAGACCGAGATGACTTGTGGTAGTCATTCTGTGTTTCAAACCTCATTTAGGATGAGGCCCCATTTTGAATTTGAACACAGGGTTTCATGGAAATTTCTGCTGGAAACTCGTTGTTTCCAATGGAGTTCTGGTGGAATTCTTGGACTCAACTGGGCCTGACGCCGCATCCACTTGACCACTTTCTCGTGGATCAGCGGTTTCATAACTGCATTTTCTTTGCAGCCCGTCTGGTCCATTTGCAGATTACTGCAAGTGTTGCTATTAGATGTATATATTACTAGTACTACTTTGTGTTCAATACGCCTAAACTTCATGCTTTGTTTTTGGATGTCAGGGCTGATACTAACTCGTAGTTCATTCGTACAGGCCGATGGCTTGGTTCAGACAGAGAAATAAAACCAAAGGTGAACTTTTAAGGCTGAAGGAGAACAAACACCCCAATGCCCAGTTAGACACTGCATGGTCCTGTCAACTTTGCATGCATGTGTGTAATATAATAATGAATAATTGAACTCGAAAAAAAATAATGAATAATCGTAGCAACAATCGTGTCATTTCTGTTCTGAGCTTCCTATGAGCAAAGTTGACAGGACTAGACAGTATCTATATCAAAGCTTGGTCAGGCTATGTTCATGCCTGATCATTTATTAAGGTCAACTTTGTTGTCTATGTTGTACTGTATCAACTTTTGAACTTTACATGCCTAGTGTTGGCGTTTGCTTCCGCGTGATGATGACCTGCTCGATCAGAGTCTCCGGTTCATGCATATGCATTGCTAAAATCAGCAAAGAGAAATGCTTCACCTAACACCTGTGCATACACCACATAGATTTGTTCCACTAGTTTGCGCTGTACAGCGTTGTTATGTTATCATGTCCTGATGACGTGTTGTCTTCTTGTTTTTTCCCCCTTGCACTGGGAGGAACAGAAGTGCCGGGCAGGGGCAGGGAGACTGCCATCCTCTGCCTCTTCATCGCCTCATCGGTATGAAAAGTGGCCGCCGTCCCATCTGGCTGGCCGGCTGGGCCGGATGAAACAAATCGGCCGCAACGTGGACGAAGCAGAAACCGAAAAAGAAAGTAGGAGCCAAAACATATTATCCATAACTTATCAGTCCGGCTTATTAGCCATAGTACAATATTTTTTTCTCACAATAAAACAATATCAGTCGACTTATCAGCCGTAAAAACCATAAGTCGAACAACTTGTTTGTCATGGGTAATATATGTCTTGAGCATTATTTGCATCAAGTTGCCCAACTATTCCATGTTAACAAATAATGATCCAGTGTGGATGTTACCGTATGGTAAATAACTGAATTCCCTAGCGTTAGCGTTACAATGGGAGAATAATCATGCAAATATAGGTGATTTTATACATATGACACTTTCAAGAGTGAAGTGACCAAAAAAAAAAAAAAACTCTGTTAGACATTATGGTGGCCCTTTTGTTACATCATCATACATGTGTAATATGTGTATTTTTGTATAAATAAAGATGTGTAGATGATGACACACGTACCTGCCTCCCTCAAAAGTTCTTTATTTCATATTGAATAAATCATTTTTTTCTACAAATGTACAAAGGGAAGCTTTTAGCACTATTATGGAATGTCATCGCTTTGATCTTGATCAACGCCTTCCAAGCACTCATCGAATCGGCCTTCGAATGGATAAAATGCTTCTCTGCTTGTGTCATTGCAAGAATGTAGTCCATTGCAAAATACTTGCAAGATTAGCGAGAAATTTGGAATTACCGAAAACATCCCACCATCTAAATTTTGCACAGCATAATGGATTCAATTCGTCTGTTAGATTAATCTTGTTTTTCTTGCATTAGCGGCATTGGTAGTTTTGTTTTTCACGTGCATCGGTGTAACATCCAGTATTCTAGTTGGTCTAGTCCATGTTAGTTATCTAGTCATGCAGTATGGCAAGGAGCTCGGATCGACAGTGTGGAGTGAGCCGGTCAGCTGCTGCCAGTTAGTGAGTACATGCCGTGGTGTTTGGACCGCTAGCCATGCAGGAGTGAAGATTTGCATAGATACATGCATCGTGCTTGCAAGCTACGTGTGCATACTATTAGTTTAGGCATTGCTTGGTTTTCTGTTGTCTACTTTTTTTTTTTGAACAAAAGCTTCATTACTCAAATAGATTCATTACAATCACACTATAAACATCTCTGCAAGAAGCTAGGGGGAGTAAGCCAAAGACAACTCTCTAACATAGCCGAGGCATGCTGGGCGCAAAGATTCTCCCGCCAGTTGATCAACGAGATGCCAATATATCAACTCACGAATCCTATCAATTCTCTCTTGATTAGCCATTTCTGCGCTTGGAAAACCGTGAGTTGATATATTGGTAAGGAAAATAGGACTGTTTTAACTAAAGTTTCTCGACCAGATGAAGATAGAAACTTCCCTTTCTAGCCCGGCAACCTACTTCCAATCTTATCAATTAAAGGTTGCACCTCAATCTTTCGAAGCTTTCGAGTATGCAGCGGAAGGCCGAGGTATTTTCCACGGAAGCAGGAAATCTTCCCGGGAAAATTTTGAATGATGGACTGCACCATATCTGGCTGAAGCCGAGTTGGGAAAATCTCTGTTTTGGCCGTGTTAACTCTGAGGCCAGAGCAGTCACCAAAGAATGTGAGGATTGCTTGCAGGCTATTTAATTCTGCTAGAGAGGGATTTGCGAAAAGGGCGGCGGCGTCTGCGTACAGCGAGCAACGCAGCTTCGCCAAGGATGGCAGAACTGGCTGTAGAATTCCTTGCCGTGCAGCCTACTCGATGATTCTTTGCAGGGCAATGATGAATAATAGAGGGGACAATGGGTCTCCTTGTCTCAGTCCCCGTGCGTGTTTGATGCTCCGGCTCGGCCTACCATTTATTAGGATCTTGGAAGAGGAGGATGCCAGGATCGCTGCAATCCAGTTGCGCCATTTGTTACTGAAATCCAGCGCTGCAAGAACCTCCAGAAGATATTGCCATCCAATAGAATCAAAGGCCTTAGAAATGTCAAGCTTAATGAAAAGCGTTGGCTGCTTTTTCCTATGTAGGAGCTGGATCACCTTTGGACATACAAGAAGTTATCATGGATACACCTTCGCTTGATGAAAGCATTTTGTGCTTGGGATACAAGGCCATTCATATTAGGAGCTAGCCTTGTTGCAAGGATTTTTGTTATGATTTTGACCAGGCTGTTGATCAGACTAATCGGCCTATAGTCCATTATGTTTCTGGCATCCTCTTTCTTCGGAATAAGCACAATGTTCGCTTCATTGAACAATTTCAGTTTTGAGGTTCGGTGATTGTAGAAACCGAGAATCGCATCATGGAGATCATGTTTTATTATCGGCCAACATTTCTTATAGAAGATGCCAATAAATCCATCAGGCCCGGGAGCCTTTTCAGATGGCAACTCTTTGATTATCTGAAGCAGTTCCTGTTCAGTGAACGGTGCATCCAGGTCTTGCAGATTATGCGGGGTATACCCCAATGCCTCCCAGTTGATAGAACCTGTTCTCGTGAACGCAGTCCCAACAGCCTCAGAGAAGAATTGGACCGCCACCTTGGTCTTATCCTGTTGAGAGATCGCTATTTCGTCGTTAGAGTGGAGTGCTCCAATATATGTCTTCCATCGCCGGGCGTTCGCGTGGAGTTGAAAGAACCGTGTATTAGTGTCTCCCTTCCGGATCCAAGTGAGATGAGAATGCTGTCTTGCCTTTGCTCTTTGAATCACTGCCATCCCTATCGATTTGG